TAATGGTGATGATGACGATGATGATGATGATATAGTTAGCATTCCTCTATAGCAGAAACACAAAATGTACAAAACAAGGGTAAATTCTTCTCTTTCTATCACTCCATCAAAATACAAATACCACAAAAAAATAATATTTTTTACCACTATTGCCTCAATTACTTTGACCTTTGCCGGAGCAGCGGCCAGATCTGGTTTCCTTTCCATCAGGCCTGTTAGTGGAAACGATGGACGCATTCCCGCTTTTTTACATGTTTCCAAGAAACAGAATTTGCATACAAGAAAGCTTCGGAGTTTATAGTGGATGATGGATTTGTGAAGCATGAAAAAGACAACTTGTATATCAAGGCTGATGAGAAAGGAAGGATCGTCACGACTGATTCAACTCTTAATACATTTAAACTTAAGTATGGCAAAGATCTTTATTTGAGCTCTAAGGGAAATATCTTCGAAATTTGCGAAGATTTTGTGATCAGACAAAAAGCAATTGCAAAGGAGCACGGCAGGTCCAGATTGTCTATTATGCCCTTGGTACTTAGAGTTTTGTGTTTGCAGCTTTTCCAATCCTTCCTGAGCTGTTTTTTACGATGAAAAAATTAGTTTTAGGCCCGGAGTGGGGTACTAAAGAGCACTACATATAATAAAACAACCTTTACAGATTGCCTAATATCATGAATTCTAAGTAACGCTTACAGAAAGCCTCAATGTAAAATCATTGTCAGAGTGATATCCTTGAGAAAGATTGATTGAGAGCTTTCGTCGCATCACAGCATCGGTATTCTTATTGATCACTTACATCTCTTGATCTACGGTAGTCAACTTTCTTCATACAATTTGTCTGAAAGACACGTGAGCGTAGCCCCTGGATCTCGGAAACAACTCTATGAGTCTTTCGAATTCATATTTGACGGGACCCATTAGAAAGAAACAAAGATTCAATCTTGGAGTCGTGTTTATATCTTGCGCTTGCTTGTACAGCCATTTCAAGAATCTCTTTTTTATTCCGTGATCCATAGTGCACACAAGATGATACAACGCTTTTTTAGATTAGCCGTGGTGAAGGGTTTCTGTCGTCTTGTATTCATTTTGCTCTCTAATCTGTTTCAAGCAGTATTGCTTGAGTCAATGTCTTCAATGGTAAAATTTTTATTATTCTCACTTTTGAGATAAGTTTGGAAATTAGTATATTAAATGCGAGATCCCATGTGAAATACCATTCTTTCTCTCCAATATATCACGTATTTGAACAGTGTAAGCATTGATTGACCATGATTATGAACTAAAATGAAGTGTGATCTGGCCCGAAATTTTTTGAAATATACATGCGTGTGTTCTTGCTGTTATTACACATAGCTCCCTTATGTCTTGCTCAAAACAAAGGAAAATCCATTCTGACATTATTAGTCCCTTGAAGCACAGTATAATTTGTATGGACTTCCCATTCAGGGTTTCTTCAGAAAGAAACTAGAATCCTCAAACCAAAAAAGTAGCTTAAAAATTGCTTTGAAAACTCTTGCGCAAAATTCTTTTCAGTCAACTCTAGAATGTTTCTTGGTGGTTTGGAAAAACCCCATCTAGAATAAATCTAGCCGGACGAGATACTCTGTCACGTGATAACATCCTCGTCCAGTCCGAGGGCGAAGAAAATTCACCCACCGAAGGAAGCGTACTGCTCTTTTTTGATTATGAGCTGGACGTTTACAAAGATAAATTAGTGACCTTTAGTGCTATATGCTATAAATTATACTGCCTTTTCGAAGCATTCCCTTAGGGCTACAGCGAACCTAAACAAATTCCACATTATATGCAGTATATTAACATTGACAAAGAGCGTTTCTCTTGATTTCTCCTCTTGAAATATCAGCTCATCAACCCATCAAACCGGGATATATTTTGATGTAATCAAGTAGATGGAATACATGAAATCTAATGTTACGTATTTGATAGGTAAATTATGCAAGACATAAACGCAAAAGTGATGCAGTACGTGTATGGGATTTTATAGCATGTATAGGAATATAGATTCGCGAACTGTTAGGCTCCACGTATCAGCTAGGACTTAAGTTCCTGTGAGTGCATATATGACTATATGCAATTTCTTCTTGTGAGCTTTGTCAAATATGATTGTGAGTCATGTTTGCGAGTGCCGTCAAGTTATATTGTGAATAACTCTTAAAATATCCTTTCAAGCTTTTCAGCTGCCTTCACGTGCCTTCCAGATCATATTTATAAGGCAGATGCGATTGCTGCTGTTTGAGGGATGTGTGTCCAAACAGTAATACAGAACCCTTATGTCCCGTGAGGTCCCTAACACTTGCTTTTTTAGGTTGTATAAACTATTCAGAACTTTTCAACATACTTCGCTTTTTGTTTTGACAAGTAGTGGTCTGACCTTTCAATGAAATAAGGAAGCTTTTTTCCCGTGAAATCTTTTTATAGACCGCATAAAACATGCATACACAATCACAAGTCCTAGAATCCTGAAACGTATAATGATAGTTATCAAAATCAGCTATTGTTTAAAACCAACTTTTGCATAGAATATGCCTTTCTGACCACTAATACACTATAGTTCAATCGTTCTGAATCAGAATACACACATTTTTTCGGCTAAATCGCAATTTTTGCACTCCACTTTTGCGCAGGCTTTCCCGTCTAAATTTTTACAATAGTCTTTTATATGCATGATCCGTCTATAAAAAGACAATGTGGATTTTAATTCAAACGAATATTTGCTGAAATATTTGGCCGCCGTCACAAGGATGGAGGTATTTCGGATCGTCTTCCCCGAAATTTTGCGCCAGACTAATAACAAAACCCGCTCATGCTTAAAGCTGTTTCTTTTTGCAAGTTGACGCTTAGGTTCATTCCGAAACCTTGTAAACTGTTGGATTTAGAGTGTGATCCGTGGAACTGACCACAATAGGAATGCAAGTGATTGCATTGACGGTTAAATTTTAACAAACTTTCCGTTTCAAGAAAAAGTCATGCGATAATCTTTGAACTAGACGATAAAACCGTCTACACCAAAATTTATGGACCTATATAAGTAGCGAAAGTTTCTCTGAATTAGTGGTTCTTTACCAAGAGAATAACGTTGAGCAGCAAAATGAAGATTTGTTCCACATTCGCGCTTCTTGCCTTGATATCTGCCAGCTTTGCATTGCAAGGCTACTTCTCAATTGTAACTGAATCAGATGTCCAGTTACGGATAAGTGTTTTTTTGACTAGCATAAATGGAATAATATACTCATCTCAAGAAAAATCCATGTATGGCATATCAGACGGAATTGTAAAGGACAAAATTAGCAAAGCTTTTTTGACCATGAACGAGAATGGAAGACTTGTCTTGGGTCGAAGAGACAGCAGGTTTTTGGTCGATCTTTCTAAAGGTGATCAAGACGGATATTTGAGGCACAACGACAACGAAATATTTTGTCTCAAAAAAAATGATGTTTTTGTTTCAGATTCAGGTTGTCAAGATGGACTTGAGGTCAGAATAAGATTTCATCAAGAGTAAGATCTTGGGCCTCGTAAACGTACATATGTGATGTATAAATGCTTCAAATGTCCAAAATCAACGATTCAAGCAAAAGCAATTTACGCATGTAGTCGAACAGTCGAGGCTGCGAGTGAGTAGAGAACAAATGGGAAGAGTATGCAAGGTGTCAGTGTTTTCCCTTCTTCTTTTGTCTGTCCCACTTTAGTCTGCAAGTTTGTAATTTTGGGCAGCTAATGTAAGGGGCGTCGCGTGAAATTCTTCTCTCTGTATTTCCATAACTAATCGTTCTGTATTACTAGTTGGCCACGAATTTCGCTGGAACTCTACAGGAGTTTTATTCTACCTGCTACTTGGAGGTCACGTGAAATTTCAACTGAGGCGGCTTGGGCGCCGCACGACCGCAGAACATCTGTCGTGTTCTCAGGGTACCAGAATCCGAAAGTCACCCAAACCTTACAAGCTGGAGCCATCCGCCACCACACACACAAACCACACACACAAACCACACACACAATCCACAAACCACAAACCACAAAACACAAAACACAAACCACAAACCACAAACACCACAAATCACAAACACCACAAACACCACAAACCACACCCCTTTCCTAATCTCGCTGCACCGTCCTTACCCGCCGCCATGGTCTCCAGACAGGCCCAGAAACGCTTGAACAAGGAGTACAAAACCATCCAGGCCAACGCCACGCCGTTCGTCACGGCCAAGCCCACCGACGAAAACATCTTGGAGTGGCACTACGTGATCTCGGGCCCGCCCGGCACGCCCTACGAAAACGGCCAGTACCACGGGTTGCTCCGGTTCCCGCCGGACTACCCGTTCAAGCCGCCGTCCATCTCCATGGTCACGCCCAACGGGCGCTTTGCCTGCAACACGCGGCTCTGCTTGAGCATGAGCGACTACCACCCGGACACCTGGAACCCGGCGTGGAGCGTGCTGACCATCTTGACGGGGCTCTTGAGCTTCATGACCGGCGACGAGCACACCACCGGCTCCATCGCCACCTCGGACGCGGTCAAGCGCAAGTTGGCCGGCGACAGCCACAGGTGGAACTCCGCGGAAAACACGCGTTTTGCCGCGGTGTTCGCGGATCTTCATGCCGCCAACCAGGCGCACATTGCGGCGCGCGACGAGGAGGCGGCGCGCCAGGCCGCGGCGGCCGAGCGGGCGCGGGGTGTGGGGCCCGACGCGGCCGCGGCGGCCATGGACCCGGAGGACCGGGCGCGGCTCCAGGCGGGCCGGGAGGGGGCCCGGCCTGCAGGGCCCGCCACGCTTTTGAAGATGGCGGGGTTTGCTCTTGCGGCCGTGTTGGCGGTCTACGTGGCGTTGGTGGGGGCCTGAGCGGGCCGCGGGCCGCGGGCCGCGGATGACTCGCCGGGGTTTGGGGACGCGAGCCCGGGATCTGTCTGAGACGGGGGCTTGAATATCTGAGGGCGAGTCCGAGTGGATCTGAGATGCAGCCAGACTTTCCTTGACACGGCAGTCAGAGTGGATCTGAGATGGAACTCGGAATATCTGAAGGGGAGTCAGACTTTCCTTGTCACGGCAGTCAGAGTGGATCTGAGATGGAACTCGGGATATCTG